CAGCATGAAAGCCGCACAGCTCCGGGGAGGGCCTGCCCTCCTGCAGCCCCTTCCGAGGCTACCAGGGAGAACTTCGCAGGAGGCAGGATGCAGCCTGACAATGGACTGGGGAGTCCCTCCCAGAGAGCAGTCAGGCTTTGCTCACCACCCATCCTGGCTCCAGGGCTCATGCTGCTGGGTATGTCTCTCTCCTTCCTTTTGCCCCAAAGTTCTCATTGCACTTGTCCTGGCCCCGCTTCACCACTGAACAGGAATTGGGGGTCACAGGAGGCAGGTCCAGGGAGTGACCCCGGCCAGATGGAGGACGGCACAGCCTTGGAGCCCTGGGCAGGCCTCTGGGTGTGGGGCACAGCCAAGGTGGTCCTCACCAGGCTCTTGTATTTCTCCTGGGCCCCCTTGGTCCTGAGTACTGGCTACTGGGGCAGGAGCTAGTAGGTGACTTTCCCCACAAGCGTGACTCCAATCCTCCCGCTGCCATTCATTGAGGGGCCGTGAAGACTGCAGTGAGACAATTACAGAGCTCCGCCACCACCAGGTGCGTCATGCTGTGGCCCCAGTGAAAGGGACGTTTTGGGGTTGAATCCTCGAGACCCAGGCTATTACCATACAAAGCCCCTTAACATGAGCTGGCTCCCTCAGGAAGCGGTGGGTGTGTCCTGGTGTGGGAAGAACACACCCACAGTGACTGCTGTTATGTGCCGATGAATCGATCAATCGGACTCAACTCCTAGTGACCCCTCCTTGGGTTTCCAAGGCAGTATCACTACGGGAGTAGATTGCCTCATTTCCTTCCAAGGAGTGGCTGGTGGGTTTGAACCGTCGGCCTTCTGGTTAGCAGTCAAGTGCCTTAGGCACTATGCTACCAGAGCTCCTACAGTGACTGTAGGCACAACCAAACTTTGTCTCTTCTTCACTGGACCATATAACTGACTATATTTCCCAGTCTCCTTTGCAGAATGTGCCTGCCACTTCCAGACCGGTTCACAGAAACCTCCCAGATGTGCCTCTCCAAACTCTGAGTTGGAGGGGGTGGGCAGGAGAAGGCCTCATGGTGTTCTTGGAAGGCGGAAGGTGGGGACTGCAGAGGCTGGGTGAGCCTGAGTCCCCAAACGCCAGCAGCAGAGGGCTGTCCCACCGACCCACTCCTCCGCCCAGTGCTCAGTGGGCAAGAAAGGTCTCCTACGTGCGAGCCATTATTTTGGGTCTATTTATTATGGAACTAGCATTACCTGAATACAATCAATGCCAAATGGTCAAAATACATTTATTCTGTAATTGCACATAATTGCAGTTGCCGAAGGAATGCCCTTTACCTTGGAGAGCCTCAACTTCCCGAGCTGAGGAGTCAGAAGGTAAAGACGCTGCCAAGGAAAGGGTAAGCTGAGCAGAGGTAGTTGCTTCATCAGTAGGGTCGCTGCTGAATGCTGGAGCTCAGTGGTCAGCCGCCCTGGCTCACAGGCTGGCTCCCCACTTCCAAGCACTAGGGGTCTGACTCCCCGTCTGTACATTGGGACAAACAGGCCTACACTTTAGCAAGGGCAACAATTACTGCTCGGGGGCCGGATCTCACCTGCGGTCTGTTTTGGTACAGCCCCCGAGCTAAGCGTGGTTTGCGGCTTTTAAAAACAAAGACTAGGTGTGAGACCATATCGCAGGCTGGCAAAGCCTCACAGGGTTGCCGTATTGTCAACAACTCAGACCAGTGTCTAGCTCAAACTAAGTACCTGATACACAGCAGCTCTGTCTCCAAAGACAAACTGTCATGGAGGCAGTCTGCATTTCATCGAGGTGGACGTTTCTCCTTCCCGCCGAAAGGCAAACACGCAAACACACACATACACACACACACACACACGGAGAGCTGTACTGTGATTCTTTGGACCGCACAGTACTTTAAAAGCTGCTGGTTGTCCAACGTCACTTAGTGGAACATGGACAAAGGGAAAGCAGTATCTCCCTTTATAGCAAAGAGAGCTGAGACGGCAGCAGAACACCCGGAGACATGGACACTTGACTGGATTGGACTGAATACGGCAAGAAAGACCGATACATTTTAAAAATAGATTTTAAGTAGCTATGTAAAACTTATTTAGCCAAAGTCTTTAATGCTGGTTTTCGCAATGAAACGGTAAGATGTTGAAATGCACTTATAATTAAAGTCTACCACACGGCTCAGGTGACACAACATAGAACCAGTCTTTCAAAATCTGATTAGGTGGACAGCGTTTTCAAATGGGACTCTTGGCAGAAGAGGTCTGACCGTAAGGTGTCCGGTTCTGGCCGTAACTGAAGCCTCGCTCAGAAAGCGTCTGACACAGGATGTCTGTTTGGGAGTGAAGCCCCGGGGTGTGCGTGCCGGAGGGCAGGGGTTCTAGGGTCTAGTACGGGTGGGAAGCAGGGCAGGCTGCTCATCTTGGAAAGTCACAATGGATGATGACATGTTACAGGTGTGGGGACACCACAATGTCCCCAGGGTCCTCGACCACCGCCTTTGTGCTCACACAGGGTCAAGTGACGCCGAGAGGCTGCAGACACTCTGGCCACGCCGTCCTGCATGAAGCTGACAAATTCAGAACAACATTTTTGCACGTTTAGATCAGAAGAGATGCAGAAGACAGCACCCCCTTTTCGCAGCAGGGTTTTGTTCTAAAACAAGACTTGGTAGGCCGTCGGGGGGTTTCTCTGGGTGAGTTCCATTATCGATCACAATATGAAACCATCTCAGCATTCCTCTGAAAACTTCATCTATCCAAATAGTGAATGTTTTCACAGTGTGAAAGTCCTACTTTTGTAACAGGTTTGTTTGTTTTTCCAAAGTGGAGAAAACTTTTGGAAAAATTTTAAAAAGAAACTTATGATTTATTAGAGTACAGGATCCAAAACACGTTTTTAGAAAAATATAAAGTGCCCAGATACCAACTTACACAGGTGAGGAGGCTTCCTGGAGGCAAATGAAGCATTCATGAAGAAACACATTTAAAAACAGTCTAGATACATATTTACAACACGGTCAGTAAAGGTAAAACCATCTCTCTTGGCTTTGATGTTACTCTGTGAAAATAGGAAATCAAACCAGAAAACCAACAATTATGACTTCAGCATGCTCAGTTTCTGAGTAATGCATCCTGTTAACATGAACTCCTCACCGTCTAATTTTCACCTTGAAATGAGAGTAGTGTAAGGTCATCCCCACTCCCCCACAGGCAGGCTAGGGGTGGCAAAGTGGTTATGTTTTTGAATACAAGTCCAAGGAACCGGACTTTGGTTTTGACACATGAGGAACACGGACAGTGGACAATGGCTGATCCAGTCGGAAGGAGCTGGCTGGCCAAATGCCCGTTTTCTAACAAAACTGCTGTGGCCTTTGTTTGCTCGTCAGTGGTCTGTGGTGGCTCCCCAACCTCAGCCACCCCGGGGTCTCCAAAGCGCAAACACGAGGCTATCACTCAGCATGTTGGGAAGATACTGCATGCAAATGGACAGACAGGTGGGGCCATGCCTCAGTCACTAGAAACTTAAGAGTGCAGAGTAACTAGGTCCTAATTCCAGGTTAGTCTCTACTGATTAATTACAACACGAGCTCGCTTGACAAGTGGTGAGTCGAGAGCGGTTAGGAGCCCCAGAGCTGCGTGAAGACTTGGCACCTTCCCATATGGTTACTAAGGGCACCAGAAAGGAGCCACTGATCTCGGGACACAAAGCCAGACTCTCTCCATGAGTCTGCATGGCAGTCACAGTCCTGGTGCCGGCACAGCACTGATGACCACACATGCAGATGATGCCCCTTCTCCTTTCCCACCAATCAAACACTCTTAAAACGAAAGACTTCAACACTGTTACACAGATAGAAACAAGTACTGATTTGGATGAAGAGAAAGGCAATGTACCAAATGTGAGTGATCAACATGGTGGCACTGAGGAAGAGGAAGACAGAGAAAGCACATAGGAGGTAGAGACAACAGAGCTGAACCCTTCTGTACATACAGTAATACACTGTCAGTGAAGGCAAGCAATTACCTACAGGTGGACAGGCTGAACGATTACGTATGTCCATGCAGGGAGAAGTACGCCCATGACTATGTACAGGGTTCGCAAACAATGTTTCTACAAGTGTATGTTCTCTAAGAATTTCCAGGTATATAGTAAAGCTGACAAAAGACAAGGCTGTAGTCACTTATTGGTCACAGTCAGCTACCCAGAGGGAGTAAGTAATTGGAACTGTGGGCTCAAGATCATAGTCACAGGCAACATCAAGCTCAATTGGCATAACATCATATTACACAAAACATTGTTCCACCTCCTACTTTGGCGAGTAGCAACTGGGATCTTAAAAGCTTGCAAGCGGCCATCTAGATGCAACGATGGGTCTCTCCTTGTCCAACCAAAGACACATGGAAACAATTAGTCCAAGTGACTGGTTCCTTAGCCCCTATGACTATGAGACCTGAAAGAACTAGATGGTGCCCAGTTACCACTGTCAACCACTCAGAGGGGGATCTATGTAGGAGATCCTGGATACAGTAGGAGAACAATGTGGAACAAAACTCAAAATCATTATTAAAAAAAAAAAAGCAACCAGGGGTTTGCTGGTCTGATAGAGCCTGGTGGAACCCCTGGTGGACTATGGCCCCTGGCTCCCCCTCAGGTCTGGAATTGAACCTGCTCCTGTGGCTTCCAGACAAATAAAAGACAGGCAAATGAGCTGAACATCTACATTAGGTAGATACTCTCCTTGGAGAGATCAATCATAGGAGAATAGAAGGACTATGTATGCACAGGGAGACAAGTCAGGGAGCAGGAGTGCATGGGAGGGAAGGACACAGGGAAGAGGTAACTATGGGGAGGAAGAAGGGGAGCTGTTGCATTGTGGTGAATTGTGGTCAATGTCATGAGACAAAGTGTATGTGAGCTGCTGTATGGAAAGTGAATTTGCTCTATAAACGTTCACCCAAATCACAATTAAAAATTAAAATAAAAAAAAAGACTTCTTACTGAATTCTACCTGTCACATTCCAAAGGGTCTTGGAGTGACACTAAGGAATGAGGAGGGGCATGGCAACTCCCCCCATTTTTAATGTTTAAAGTTCATTATCACTCCTTTTTTTCTGTTTATAAAAGCAAAAATGTCAGTTTCAGATCGTTGAAAACCATGGAGCATGATTTCTAAGATTTTTAACATCAGATTTGTACTTTTCTCACTAAAAACAGAACCAATCACTGATTTAAGACCTACATGTGATATGGAGAATTTTTAAACAAACAAACAAAAAAAGTAGTCATTTTAAAGAGAATACAGAATGAGTGTGGAAACTCCATTCACAAGGACCATTACCACATGTTTTCTCAAAGACTGTTATGTCAGAGAACAGAAAGCCAATTATTGGTACAGACAGAGGCATCAATCCAAGAGGAATATAGTAGGAAATGTTATCCAATCAATTCAGATACAGAAAAAGATAAACATCAAAATTGGTGTTTCAAACTTAGAAAAAATAAAGTCAAGTGATTCTAGTTACCATTCAGCTTATTATGTCTCTGTTTCCAAGGTGCTGACAAGATCACGTGCAAGTTTACCTCTGCACATGCAGCCAAGTTTAAGGTGAAAAGAGAAACAATCCTGACTTGGGACTGCATGTACTCCACACAGCACTCAGGAAAACACACTGCAAACCATCACCCCACCTGTCCATCAAACGAGATGTTCTAAGACACATGTAACAGACGCAGAAAGGAAAGTGGTAAAGAAGAACGAATCAAAGAGTGTCGATTGTGGGACCGCATGAAGACAGAGTGCCACAAGCTGTCACCACAGGACAAGCACACAAGCCATGCCTTTGAACACAGTGCCATTCAAGTTAATTCACTAGTGTAGGCGGAGAGCAGCATTGTCTTTGCAGCTGAAAGAGAGCACACGTTATTAAATTTAGGAGGCGGCAGCCAGCGCTACCGGTGGAGTGGCTTTCCTGGCCATGTGAAACCCCAGGGCTCCGTGGTGCCATCTCCTTCTGGAATCCCATTCTCGCGGAAGACAGCAGCAGCAGCAGCAACGGTGCGGTGCTCTCTGCGAGACCTCACTCCGCGTTCTCTTTCTTGGCACTGTAAATGTTCTGCACGGTCTCATAGACAAACTCCAGGTCCTCCGGGTACCGGATTTCCAGTTCCGCGTTGGGGATGTAGTGCGTGCCAGTAAACTCTGAGAAGTAGCGTCCGACATCGGGGTGCGAGATTTCTTGAGGCTCCACGTTATATTCCAAGTTTTCTGTTGGTAAAGAGGCACACACACATTCTGGTTAAGGTTAAACTCAAGCAGCAGCTTTTATCCAGGAACTTCCTACCCCCCCCTTCTGGACGGCACCGTTTGGGATGCAGGAGCGGGAGCACGGAAAGGACAGAGACGCTGATGAGATCTGGGGGTGGTCACAGGAAGAAGGGAGCCCAGGGGCCCAGTGGGTAAGCTCCAGGCTGCTCATCAAAAGGTCGATGACCTACCAGCTGCTCCATGGGAGAAAAGATGTGGCAGGCAGTCTACTTCCGTAAAGATCTACAGTCTTGGAAACCGTATGAGGCAGTCCTCCTGTCCTACAGGGTCTGAGTCAGAACCGACTTGACGGCAGTGGGTATCAGGAAAAGGCAACGAGCAGGCATCAGGATGGTGGGATGGTGAGACGGTGGGAGGGCCCCCAGCAGCTCCAGGAGGACAGTAGCATTTTTATAATCTCTCAGCGAGACCCCTATGGGGGTCCCCTGGGGATCAGCCCCTACAGACTCACCGTGCTTCTTCGATTTCTCTGGCGAAGAGCTGAGAGCATGGCACTGGGCTACCCTGCTCATTCTCACCAGTGCTGAAGCTTCTGCAAAGTCCGCGTCACCTGGTTACAAATCTCAACCTGCGTCCTTCTCATCTACTAACGGGGCCCACCCACACAGGCCCCATTTTCCACCTGAGCTCCTAGAGCCCCTGGCTACACGCTTCCTAAGGTGGGCCAGCCACTGCACTGGCTGCTGTGAGGCCCAGTAAGAGCACCAGAAATGCTGTGTACCTCGGAGCCCTCAGGGGTCGCTGTTATCGGCACTTGTACAGTCTCCTAGGAAACCCTGTGGCCCCCACTCCTTGCTCTCTACTTTGCCACGGGAGAAGCAGCACCTGTTGCTGTAGGGAAGCAGACCCGACGACACCTGCTGCCGCCAAGTCTGGCGCAGCCCTGACTGCTAACTGAACCCATGCACCACTCTGCAGGAGAAGGACGAGGCAGTCTACTCCCATAGAGACGGACAGCCTTGGAAACTCTACGGGGCAGTTCCGCTCTGTCCCACAGGGTCCTCCCATGAGTTGAAATTGACTTGATGCCAGTAGGCTAGGTTTTGGTTTTCTACAGAGATTAGGACTCTTAAAAATGGGATGATAAAACAAAACAGAACTTGGGTAACGCATGAGGCATTTAAAAGGCAGAAGTCCTTTCAGGTGACTTCCCAAAGAGAACTACTCGCAATGTCCTCTCCAGGGGCCCAGTGAAAGGACGGGGCCATGAGGGCCTTCCTCACGGGCCAGAGGGCTGGACCAAGGCTGGGAGGGGTGCCAGCCCCAGAGCTGCCCACCTGTCTTGCACGCCCAGGTTCCACAAGGGCTCCCCCGCCACCTGCTTCCCTGGTCAGTCTTGGCTCCCACCGATAGGAAGACAACTTACCACAGCCCATCTCTTCGTTAACTCAAGCAAGCCTCGGGCCAGCCTTCCCGAGTGGGCCAACTAATGTCAACAGTGCAGCCATTACCATCAGTACTACTCTGACTATGATGTGGGGCATGTCATTTCCTACACATCTCGAGATACAAATTATGGACAGTTAGGCAGAACTTTATCTTTGGGGAGAAAATCCATTATAAAACTATTGCACTGAGAAGTCCCATCTATGACAAGTCATAAAACAAGGGTACAATTTGAGCCAGCAAGTCCACTTCAGGCCATTTCTTCAGATGCTGGCTAAAGGTGCATCAGCTTTAAAGTCGGAGAAGTAGTTCTGTTAAAGAGTATCACATATAAAGCACAGGGACCGTTTATGACAGCAAAGCTGTAAAAACAGTCTCACCATCCAACTGCACATCACTACAGAAACAAATGACAGGTCACAAATTCAGCAAAATACTGCGCAGTCCAGAGAACAAGGAGCCCGTCTGCAGGATTCTGTGGGGGTCTGGGGGGTAAACCCATATACCTGGAAGGGATCCACTGGGGCCAGCACCTTTCAGGGCACATTGCACACTGAGCACTGGCAACGTGCCAGGTCCCATCTCACCCGATCCCCACATCGCTTCATAAAGCATCTCCTAGCAGTTTGCTTGTGCGACTCAGAGAGGTGCAGGACCAGCTCAAGACCGCGAGGTCAGGAATACCTGAGGCCAGAATTCAAACCAAGAGGCTCTAGTTCCAGGTCAGAGGGAACCAACACAAGGACATGGCAACTGCCCAGGTGCTGCCAGGAGAGAGCGTGGAGGGCTGGGGCTGGAAGGTTCCAGAGCACAGGCGATGGGCAGGGCAGTGCCAGCTGATGCCACTCTGCAGAAACAGGAGCCCGTGGATTCGGATCCCCCAGTTTTTCAAGAAGGAAACTAGGGAGCTGGCCAACTCTGCTCTCACTCCACTGTCACAATCAGATCTTTGGAAGTGACTTCACTTTCCTCACGGTCTTTTATGAAAGATTATCATCAGCAAAATCAATACATGCCACTGGCTCAGACAATGTCTTTTCTGCCTGCCCACCATTCCCCTCCTCCAATCCTGTGACAGGATGCTGGTTAACGGAGTACCAGGCATGCCCTCCTCTGGAAGGCTGACTGCTGGGTGATCAAGGCCTGGTGCCTTAGCACAGTCAGAAAATCGGAGACACCATCAAGAGAGAACAGCCCCTTTGCTCTAAAGGGCCCACTGTTACCTGTTACTGTACTGGGTCAGCACTGAGATTATTCAAAGTGAAAAGAATGTGAGTGGGTCATTCTGAGCAGTGCACGTTGTTGCCCATGTCTCAAGAGCAGAGGTTCCCAGCTGGCCACCCAGGAGACTTGGGCAATGTCCGCAGATGCTTGGCTCTCACACCTTGGGAGGGGGTGGTGCTGCTATCTAGTGGGCTGAGGTCAGGGATGCTGCCCAACATCCTACAATACAGACAGCACCCACCACAAAGGATTATCCGGCCCAAGGTGCCAATGGTGCCGAGGCTGAGAGCCCCTGCTCTGCTAGAACCCGTTCAGCATTGTTCCTCTCTCCCTCTCTCTACACAGTATTAAGCAGCACGTTAGTGTTTGTTAAGACTTGGCTTCTGAGACTGGAAGAAGGATGACAGAAGGATCCCAGATTATCATCCACAGACCTCAAAGGACACCACCGCTGGGCAGTGGGCAGCACAGAATTCTGGCTGCAGGCACTAAGGGGTATGAGAAGCACAGGCGGTAATGCTGGGCACAGCACGTGGGAGGGAGAGGAGCGACCAAAGGCTGCTCAAGAGGGGCATGGCCGGGCTGAGTGCCGTCCTGGCTGGGCCGCCAGCCTGCTGAGAAGCAGAGCAGGAAAGGGCATAATAAAAAAAAAATAAAATAAGGAAAAACAAGGAAGATAACGGGGACAAATAAAGTCCAACCCACAAAACCAGCTTTCCCTGAAGAGGAACACAAAACCTGAGGAATATAAAACTGAACCAAACACCACTACATCCATGGCCTAGAACACACCAGGAAGCCTTTCCTGATTCCCTTGAAACTGTCAGAGAAATGCGTCTGCTTATGCTTATTTTAAAATAAATTTTTAGCTACATATAACGCATATGGCGACATTCCTTGTAAAACAATGGAGGCCCTGCCTGTGTGTTCCTCAGGTTCCCATCCCACCTCGGCCCCTCCTCGCCTCACCTTCCCAGAAGAGACCACGGTCAGTCTGCGTATCCTAGTCCTTTATGAAGGGACATGTGTGCGTCTGTCTAATCACACCTATGCAGACTTAAATTCTGTAGTGTTTTACGTATCTATTTACACAAAACATTCTATACGCAATAAATCTGCAACTTTTACAACGTAACAAGCGTGGCCCGATGCTGATCACCATGTGCTGACCCCAGCAAGGGCACGCTTATGTTGGTATGTGTGTTTTAATGTCAAGCGAGGCTGAATTTTATGCCACTCTACAAGGTGTGTTATCGTGAAGTACATACAACATACTAAAATTTATGCAGATATTCACAGTGGAGTTGGATCCTGATCTTGTCTTGTGGGTACCTGACTTCCATGCACAGCACCCATGCCATTCATTTCCCATGGTCCCTAAGAAGCAGCCATGGAAGGAAGTCGGGACGGAGTAGCTGCTCTCCGACGTGGATGTCAAGGGCCTATGAAACCATGCCCCCTAGTGGGAACAAAGAGTACAACCAGATGCTGAATCCCCTTCCCGTTAGGACTTGGGTGAAATTTACACACTGAGAAAAAACAGACTCTTTCCACTTGCAGACTAAAGCTGAAGATGTGGACACATGTGTGATCTGTAACTCACTCCCCAGCGCTCTCTGGAGATCTAATGATGAGAATAGCGTTTGCTAGCACATTCTACTGAGGTGACCGGATCACTGGAGCGAAGGGTTGGAAATTTCGATTAACAGTTTAAAACCAAACTAAATATGAATGTAAGCAAGTCAACTCAGAAATGTTCAAAAACATATTTACATATGTGTTTTTTAAATTTAGCCTGTCTAGGTCCCCCACTAGTCAAATATGGGCTAATTTGAAGATAAAATTGTCCCAAATTATTGTAACACAATGAATAAATAAAACTCCAGGAGTCTATGGAAAAGGGGAAACAAGGGGAAAGGAGAAGGAAGGGGAGGGAAAGAGAAAGACGGAGATGATGGAGAGGAAATGGGGGCATCAGGAGAAGCACAGTTTAGCACCCCCATGTCTAACCCCTGAGGTGATTCAGTGAGTGCTGAGACAAACAAGGCTGCAGGTTGTGGTGGAAGGGATATTCACAGGATGCCAAAAACCCTGTGGATTTCTTGTTAATTACCAAGGGGAAACTGCAGCTCTTAGTGAGTCACTTAGTTGGCCGAGTGAGGAAATGTCTCAGGACTAAGAGTGGGGACATCAGGGGCCTCTGGAAGAGATGGCCATGCTGCACATAGAGCCTAAGCATCCTGCCAAACCTACTTAATCAAGATACAGAAATGAGAAGGCAGATCTGCAGTGTGGGACATGCGGTCTGACAGCCGGCCTGGACGCTACGAGAAGGGAAGAGACGAAGAGAGAGGAGCTGTACTTTACGAAGAGACCAGAGACACGGCCACCATCCCCAGCCTGCGCCCTGGCTGGGCCCTGAGCTATGGAAGGTGTTCACATGACCATGGGGAATTTAAACGCAGCCAGGATACTAGACATGATGGGACGGTTCGTGTGCTCTGGTGTGACGACACAGCTGCGCCTGTGCAGAGAACGTCCTCACTTTCAGAGGCTGCAGCCGCAAGGATTTAGGCCATGATGTCGGCAACATTCTGTCCAATGGCTCAGCAACAACTATCTCATCTCCCTCCAGCTAGAGCCCATGTGCCTGCATGGTGGGTGGAGTACACAGAGGACACAGCCTGCCCCGGGGGTCTTTTAACCACTTCCCTCAGCTGAAAGGGCTGTCAGTACAAAGAAAGGTGCAGAAGGAGCCTCCCGTGAATGACCTGAGATTTCCGTTCCTTCAGTGTCTGTACTGCAGAAAGGCGTCCCTTCTGTCCCACAGCCTGTGAGCCAGGGGTCTGCAACAACCTGAGGTGCCAGGGGATGAGGCACACCGCTACTGCGCTCATGGGGCTGACTGGCGTCAAGGGAGGGGCCGCCGGCTCATGCAGCAGGAAATAATGAACATGAACACGCTGACTAAGCAACACAGGGCGCAGGGACAATGACGCTGTCTGAGGGTTGAGGGAAAAGGGCAAAACAAAAACCAAACAATCCCCTGCTGTTGAGTTGAGTCCAACTCAGAGCGACCCTGCAGGACACACAGCTACTCCCCGTAAGGTTTCCAAGGCTGTCATCTTTACGGAAGCAGACTGCCTCATCTTTCTTTCTCCTGTGGGGTGGTGGTGGTGGTGTTATGTGCCGTTTAGTTGGACCCGACTCACAGCAACCCCTCCTTGGGTTTCCGAGACGGTATCACTGTGGAAATAGGTTGCCCCATCTTCCTTCTGAGAAGTGGCTGGTGGGTTTGAACCACCAGCATCCTGGTTAGCAGTCTAGTGCCTTAGGCACTATGCTAGGTTTGAACCACTGACTTTTGGTTAGCAGATAAGCACTTTAACCACTGCACCACTGGGTGGGGAGAGCTTCCTGGTGGAAGTGGCATGACTCTGGAGCACGTGAGGAGGGCCTATCAGTGAGGGCCAGCCAGCTGCCCGAAGAGCCGCAGCAAGTGAGTGAGGCCAGCACGGCTGCAGCAGGCCAGGGTGGACCAGAGACGGAGAACAGGAGAGGGTGTGGGAGGCCCTGTGTGGCACCTGAACGAGCAGGCCAGTAAGAAACTGCTGCATGGTTAGTCTAAGCAGGAAGCAAGGTGGTCCCATGGCCGATCCTCTAGCTGTTGCCAAGGAACACGGCCTAGAGAGGAGCAAGCCTGGAGCAAGGGGCCAGGTGGGAGGCTGAGGCACTCTTGCTGCAGGAAGCTGCTGTCAACCCTGTGTACAGAGTACAACTGGACCAGACGGTTTTCAAGCTGTGACCTTTCAGAAGCAGAACCCCAGCCTTCTGGCAGTCCACTATAGAACCAGGCATATCACCCAGGGAGAAACACCTGCGGCACAGCAGAGGGCAGGGCAACAGGACTGGGCAGAGGTGGGCTGAAATGGGAGACGCGAGGACTCTGACCGGGTGTGATTTGTTCACTAGCTGGCTGTGTGGAGAGGGACAGGGAAGAGGGCGGGAAGAGATGTGCCTAGTGACATCACTCTACAAGTGGGAAGACATGGGACAAGACAGGTCGAGGCAGAGGGGAGAGGGTGGTGCGATGAGTTCACTGCAGACGCCAAGAGGGTTGTGAAGAGAGGTGGGCATGGAGCCCAAAAGAGAGCTTGGATGGAGACAGGGCTGTGAGCGCTGCCAGCACATAAGGGGAGCAAGGCAACAGAGCAACGTCAAGGTCAGCAGAGCAAGACGAGCTCTGAAGATAACCAAATCGGAGAGCTAGAAACGTGCACTTACTAACATTACCCACCATCACCTGGTTGCCTCTCGGCCGTGGAGATGGTGAAATGGAGCTGTTTTGTTTTCTTTATAAGGTCATTACAGTGCGATGTTATGAACGTACATTGCATAAACATACACCACGTTTTCTTAGATACTATTAGAAAGGAATTTCTGACTCTACAATGTGGACTATGGATAAATTCAGAACACCCAAAACCAAGCACTCATGTTTACCTACTCTAGAAACCCACTTTTAATTGCCTCTGAAAACCCAAAATATGAAATGTGAACTCCCCAACACCAATCCTCTGTTGTGGACAATGAGTGCAGACAGCAGCACCCCAGGCACTGGCCTGTGAGGTCCACGGTTCGAACCCACTCAGTGGCTCTGTGGGAGAAAGATCCAGCAGTCTGTTCCTGTGAAGATTACAGGGTAGGAATGCTATGGGGCAGTTCTGCTCTGGCACATAGGGTTACTAGGAGCGGAACGGACTCCATGGCACAGAACAACGGTCGCAGAAACAAGAATTTCTTTCGACACACCTTTGATGTGGTGTGTCAATCTCCTCAGCTTCTGCCACGTCAATGATAATGAAAACGAGAACTTTCCCTAGCCTTCCTGATACGCCCGAGATTTTTACACGCTCAGTATTTCTATTGTTAAGTAAGACACCTGACTAGAACTTGATATTTGGTTACGCCAAACCTGATGTCTGAGGTTGGACACGGGAAGATGCAACATGACGATCCCAGGCGAGGCTCTTGGCCAAGCTGGGTTCAAAGTCACACAGAGTGAAATGCAAACAACCCCCCTGCGCTCCAGCATCCTCTGGGATGACGATGGTAGCCACAGCAGAACACTGCCCGTCACAGAGCCGCGGTACGTGAGCATTCACGTTAGTTTTTGTGAATACGCATGATGTGGTGAATGCACTGACAGGCAGGGCTACAATGAACGCACCCGTCAAGTGGAGGTGAGATTCAATAGTCACAGCAAAGGGAGACACACAGGTTAGGTTTCTGTCTGCACACTGCCTCCGCAGGCTGGCTGTCCTTGTCTCAGGAGTGCCTGGGCTCGCACCTTCTTGGCGGCCCCATAACCACACACCTTCTCGCTTAGAGCCAGTGCTGTGGACTGCACTTTCCACAAGTGGCCATGTGAGGGCGGCTCTGAGCGAGCACAAGCTGGCAGGAGGCCTCTTTGCCTAGGGGGAGCCACAGGGGCAGTGCCCAGGAGGGAAGACTTCAGGGAATTTGATCGGCATAGGCAATGACCAACCAGAGGTTGGCAACAGTACTGGAACAGGGTCCTGCTGTGGTGGTAGTGGGAGGGGGAGGCCTTGGGGGCAGTGAGTATTTAACCTCCAGTGAAGCACTCAGCTGGTTACCAAAATGATGGTGCTAACCCCCAGCAGCTCTGTGGCAGGAAGGCCTGGCGATCCGTCCTTGTTCAGACCACAGCCACGGAAAACCTTAGGGCAGTGCTACTCCATCACACGGGATCGCTGAGTCAGAAACTGACTTGCCGGCAGGAACCACCACCATGTGGCCAGGTAAGCACATACCTCCCCAGGCTGCTGACCGTCAGTCCTGCTGAGGTGACCCACGACACTGCCGTCCCTGAATAAACCAAAGAACTGCAACCACAGAACCTGGGTGCTAACCACGGGTGCCTGAAACACGCTCAGCTGTCAGGATGCGCTAGTTACCTTGGGCTGCGTATCTGCAAGAGCCGTCCTCCACCAGGACATTATAGAAGGGCTGGTGATGGCCATGAGGCAGGCTGTGGACATTCATGTTCCGAATCCACTCGTGTCCCATCATGCAGGTGGGGTCCCAGCCATAGATCACACAGTTGTAGCCGTACCTGAGGAACATGAGAGCAGGGACAGATGAACCCTCTGAGTGCTGTCAAGACCACTAGGAAAGGGACAGGTTACATTCGGCTTCTCCCAAGCTCACAAGCCTACAGATCTACCTACTCCACGTGGGGCCGCTTCCCAGGAGGGCTCGCTGCCCACCTCTTCATAAGCCCCTCTCACCATCAACAGAGCACTTTATTTGGAGAACAACAGTCTTAAAGAAACAGTGATGGGACAACAACTAGTAATCCAATGGAAGAAGGTATCAGGCGCCGACCTGACAACACACACGTATCAGTTCTTAAGAGAACAAAGACCCAGATGTCAAAGCTAACATGCAAAACTTTTAAAATAGAAGTATCTTCTTGAATCCAGAAACAAAGCCATCTACCTATACTCAATTGATCTTTGATAAAGGACCAAAATCCATTCAATGGGGAAAAGACAGTGTCTTTCACAAGTGGTGTTGGCAAAACTGGACACCCATTTGTAGAAAATAGAAGTATCTTCTTGAATCCAGAAACAGAGCCATCATCCACCTATGGTCAGTTGATCTGTGATAAAGGACCAAAATCCATTCAATGGGGAAAAGACAGTGTTTTTAACAAGTGGTGTTGGCAAAACTAGATACCCATTTGTAGAAGAATGAAACAAGATTCATTCCTCACACCATATACAAAAACTAACTCCAGATGGATAAAGACTTAAATGTGAAACCTAAAACTATCAAGTTCATCAAAGAAAAATTAGGGGCAACTTAGAGGCCTTAATAATGGCATAAATAGACTATCAAACACAACTAAATGTACAAATAGAGAAGATAAACTAGATGACTGGGACCTTCTAAACATTAAATTCTTAAGTGCATCAAAAGACTTCTCCAAGAGTAAAAAGAGAACCTAAAGATTGGGAAAAGAGTTCCGGCAAGATGGCGGACTAGGCAGAAAGATTGCACAGACCCTCTTCAA